TTGCACGCCAGTATTCTGTCTCGTCGAGAGGCTCGCTCACGCGCGCGCGCGCGAAATATTTTTGCAAACTGCATCGCGCAATTAGAAATATATTTAGAACGCGATATCTATTATTTGTAAAACCTTCTGTTCCGTGATGAAAAATTCATTCAGTTCTCACGGCACACTTTTTTTTCTAATTCGAATGCAAATGCGCCCGAATTGTAGCAACATCCGCGAAATAGTGAGAACCAGATCGGCCCTAGTTTTTTTCGCATACGATTTTGGTCACAAAGCAGGTACCAAACGAAAGGTCTCGTCAAGATGTTCGCAGACATGCCAGTCCCAGAGTGCACCTATTTAACGTTCCAGGAGATATCGGGCTCCAAAAATTCCCAGACAGACACCAACCATTTGTTTGGAATGAAATGGAACCTTTGGAGCCCGATATCTCTGGAACGTTAAATAGGTACATTCTGAGACTGACATATCTGTAATCAGCTTGACGGAGACCTTTCGTTCGGTACCTGCTTTGTGACCAAAATCGAATGCGAAAAAATGGGGCCATTGTTCTCACTTACTGACATTTGAAACGATAATCCTCACGCGCGTCTACAATTATTTTACACGCGTGAAATAATTACGATTGATTTTATTTGACTAACGATAAACGACGGATTACTGACCACGTCGTTACTCGATGCCTCCTCCTCTGGCCTTCAATCTCCTCCTTCTGCGTTGCCGGTCCTTCATCCTCACACAATACTCATTCGCGAAAACACAGTTAATTACCATATCTCGCGCTCTAATAATTAGAATACGATAATTGCGCGGCACTTTGCACGGCACTCCCGACATTAATCGTATACGCGACGCACACATTACTGCACAACCCTCAGAAAGAATTTCTGTTACCGAGACGAAAGATGTTCTTGACGCATTTATATTTCTCTCTACCTCGTTTAGTATAAAAATAAGACGATATCAAAATAAAATCAATAATTCTTATTCTCCTCTATCGAATTAAAAAAGATTGACTTACTATATTGAGGCAAAAGTAACTTTTACAAATGTAAGTTTGTATATTCTTGCGTTTAGAATAAATTTTCCCTCCATCTTACAATGCACGAAGTTGGCACCGTGATATTCGACAAAGGACGATACATACTATCATTTTATTCTTGATTTTATAAGTTTTCATTTAAGATAAAAATATTCTTTCCTCTATAATAAATATGATTGGCGCTATATCGATCCTATTTTATGATACATTGAAATGTAATAGCATTGGATCCGGAAATTTTTTCTGTGGCTGGACTCTCAGAAAAAATGTCTGGTACGGAGACAAAAAATATTTTTGACGCATTTATATTTCTCACAGCCTCATTTAGTATACAAAAATAAGGCAATATTAAAATAAAATCAATAATTCTTATTCTCCTCTATCGAATTAAAACAGATTGACTTGCTATGTTGAGGCAAGAGTAACTTTTATAAATGTAAGTTTGTATATTCTTGCGTTTAGAATAAATTTTCCCTCCATCTTGCAACGCACGAAGTTGGCACCGCGTTATTCGACAAAAGACGATACACACTATAATTTTATTCTAGATTCTACAATTTTTCATTTAAGATTAAAATACTCCTTTCTCTATAACAAATATGATTGGCACTATATCGATCCTATTTTATGATATTATACATTGAAGTGTAATAGCATTGGATCCGGAAATTTTTTCTGTGGGTGCATTACGACGAATAAAGAAGCAAGCGCGATCCGCGTTACACTCGCTCGATATACACGTTTCGCAAATTGTACGCGATGAATAAACTACCGAACGGTGGCGGATTAAAAAAAAACATTATCTATGCACGAATGGCAGATTTTTATTACCTCTGACACGTATCGAAATTAATCGCGATAGTGTTTTATCAAAAGCGTCGTGACACTCGGAGTCGATTCGTCTCGCGCGCACGCGAATCGTTGATCACGGGTATTAATTCGTCGCGGGGATTTAGCTGATATTCGCTAATTGTTCGCGATCGCGTTTGCTTTTGGCACTCGCTCGCTCCGAGGGACAATAACGCTACGAAACGCGGAAGCGTTCGAGAGTCGAAGCGCGAATGATAGTGCGCGCGACTTTATATAAAATAGCTCGTTGTACCTGCGATATGTGGAAATAAACGCGGACCGTGTTAGTCTGTCTGCGGACATTCAATTTATTACGAAATAAAATCTGGACCTGAGAAGTGAGCTACAGAATTATTTTGAGGTTTTTGTCTCAATTAAACGCTCTAATTATTTATTTTATTATTACGTTTTGCAAAAAGTGCTTTCAAACGAACTTAGGAATATTATAAAAGTCTGATAAAAGAAGCTTAAGAAATGCACGTTGTTTCGATCCTCCTGTATAAATTTGCTAACAATAAGCGTCAGGACAGTTGAGTACAGAAATATACGTTAATTATCCTGTGCAGTCTGATATGCCGTGCGAAACGAAACAACTAATTAAACCAAGTTAATCTCACGAAATACACGTGCTGTCAAACGATTCATTCATCACTTTTCGTTACTTAACGCGGGATCTGACGATTCGTGTGCTCGCGCGCTTAATCGAAAAATGATGGATAAATTTTACGCTTACGGCGACGCGAATTCGCGACGCGGAGATATATTCGAATCCGAGCTGAGGAAATAATTGTCGCCCGTAAATATCAGGAAGCAACAGACTAATTTCCATTCCTTATCACCTCGGTTCCTACCTCGGGCGAGTGAACCGCGTTAAATAACCGCTCTGATAATCGCCGCCTCGACACGCCTACAAATCGTGGGAATTAATTCGGCCGCGCCGGCCGACAATCGCTAATTGTTCGCGATCGCGTTTACTTTTCGTTATCCCCGCCGCGTTTCCAGAGATAATAACGCGATAAATACGATCGCACGGAGCGGCGCCGCTCAATCGCTCCGGTGTCGACGCCCGAACGATAGCGCGCCGGTGACTTTGCGTATACGAGCGCGCGCGTACGACGTAAAAACAACCGCCGGGCGGTATAAACATTGATAAACATTGTTGGTGCATCGCGGCCGGGTAATATTTTACGTATTTACGAGGATAAATTACATGCCGAGCATTCCGCTCCGCTTGTAGTCTAAATGCGCTTAATGGTATCGGGCTGTATTATCGGATCATTAAAATCGTCTATTTGTAGAGTGAAATTTACTTGGCTCTCATCGAGAAGGTGTTCGCGTAAGGCGATTTATCAATTGTCATTATCAAATTTTACCGTCGGTTTATTTTCAGATAATAAAACGTCATTGTATTAGATAAAGAATTTTGCTGGTCGATCGTAATAAATCGGGAAGATGAAATTTAATCTCGTCGCAGAAATATGGTGGCTCTTTGTCGTCGTTTTAGAATTTTATTCCTCTCGATATGTAAGAGTTTTAGAAAAAAAAGAGGAGAAAAACACTATCTCCTATGCATATACGAGTACATGCAATTTGTATTCTGCGGTAAATACAATTACGGATGTGAGCGTGTAAATTCTGCGCGATATCACGGCTAACTTTAACCGTTTACAACTCGAAATCTATTATAATTTCTTGACGTTATCGAGATTTTCGAACGTAATTAATCTTTAGGACATTAAAGAATTGTACGACGAGATCGTGGGATTCTGTATAGGGATGAAAGGCGTTCTTCCTTTCTTTCGCTTTCTCTCTTTCCATTTGGTAAACCGTATTACTAGTCAGATTAAAACTATTAAAGCATAATATTGGATTTAAGACGTCTCGACTCGAAGAACTTAACGTTTAATGAATCGGTAGACGCGAAACTTTTTACGAATAGAATAAAGGCGACTTGGCGAGGAACATTAATTATTACCGTTGAGTTACGTATACGTGTGTATGCAAATACAATTGTAAATAAGTGAACAGCGAGGACGAAATTTGTATCTTGACTCCATGAAGTGAAGAAAAATCAGTATTTTCTACGAGGTTAAATATTTTCCCATTTCTGTCTTCGAGGTATGTTCGAACTATTCACAAAGCGAGTCTCGATGCAGAGACGTAGTGGATAGAAAAATGCCATGTGCGTGTACGAAACAAAGATATGGCAGCGATAAGTTACATCGAACGCCGCGTTTCCGAGGAGACGCGACTCATCGTAGATTTCGTCATCTTGAAAGTCGCTGGAAAGTACTTGGAAAGTCGCTGTTGTCTAACTCTCGATTTGCGTTTCGACCCTGCTTGCGAAACGGAGAAAACAAAAACCTGCGCGAGAAGAACGAGTCTACTTCATACGAGAGAGACTCGTTGACTTCTTTACAAACGCGGTCGCAAATTTCCGAAATTTAGCCGAATAGGTAGGCGGGTATATTCGCGCGGAGCGTAAAAAAGGCGAGGGGACAAGAACGGCGTTTGGCCGGAGGTAACGCAAGAAGACGCAATCTGCGAGCGTATCCGCAAAGGGTGCCCTTTGCCTCCCCCTTCCCCGCGCGCTTCTCGGATGGCGGAGACTCCTCGACTCCGTGCTTGCGGTCCGCTGCTGCTAGTCCGAATTTCGCCGTTTGGTGCTGTGTATCGCATTAGGTAGGAGCCCCGTCGCGGCCAGCGAGGATAGGGTGGGCGGCGGGGGGGGGGGGAAGGGTGGACAGAGGAGGAGAGGAGCGGCCGGAGGGGGATGGAGAAAGGCGAAAGCTCGCGGGGGTTGCAGGACGGTAGCGGCGATGGTAATGACGACGGCGAGCGATGGCGAGAAGAGGGTCGAGGGGATAGGGCGAGGGGGGCCGGGAGAGGAGGGCGCACCGCAAGCTCGAAAGTTGGGAAAAAGCCAAGGAAGGGGTTGTGCTTGGTGCGCGGGCCAGCCGGAGGGCGCAAGCTCCGGGTCTTCCTGTGCCCTCCCACTTGGTCGCGCGATAGGTGGAGCTTTCCTACCCGCCAATACATGTCCCGGGGAACGCGTACTCGCTCCCGAGCGGCGCGAGTAGTGCCGAGCCGCCGCCACCGCCACCGTCAGTCCTTCCACATCCACACGAAAACGCGCGTCCCACGGTGGTGGCACACACCGTGGTGTGTGGTGGCCTCTCGGCGCCGGCTCCGCTGCTGCTGCTGCCGCGCCATGCGTGGCTGATCAGGTCAGGAGGGTTGTTGGGGCCCCGGTGAGAGAGGATAAGGCCGCGGAGCACCGCCCGCGTACGCGAACGCGACCGCGACCGCGGTGACATAACCGTCGGCGACCAGGGCGGCCAGGAGTCCATCGGGGAGTGACGGGATGTAGGGATGTATGATCGAAAGGGTTGGGTCGGCAGATGAAAATTAGCGCGGACTCGCGTCGTACGGGTGTGCTGTGTACGCCAAGAGAGATGTTGGTGAACGTAAGAATAGTTCTGTTAATGTGGACCGATGTGCGCGGCAAGGTCGTTTACGTGGCGGCACGAAGAGGGTGAATCTCTGTTACTCCGGCTCTGGTAAAAGCGGGTTGTGTTACCGAGGTATAATCGCATTCGCGACGGAACATGGGAATCGGCCAGTAATTATCGCGCTTCGGAGGATATTTTGGTCGATGACGGAAATTTACATACGACGTTGCGTTATAATGTTCTCGAAAAAAAATGGTCAAAATGAATATTCTTTTTCTTCTACTTTAATTTCTTAGAAGAAGAAAATGGTTTGATAATCATCGAGGAGTGATCGCGTAACGGTATTTCAGATAATACGATACAATACAGCATGTATTCATTTTCGGTTATGACTGCATTTCTGAAATTGTGCAGGCTTTAATTAATTTTCGCAATTTTCGCTTGGTTTGGAGATCGTCCATCATTACAATGGATAAGTCCTATGGCTAATAATGTAGAGTTATAAAACATCTCTGTTGATTTAAATAATATAAAATATCATTCTATAAGTTAATTTCCTTCTCTTTTAATTTCTTCTTTATTAGCAGTATACATTATGTTACAAATGTGGTCGGTTGTGTTCTGTAAGTTGCACACGAGACAAATTTATGTCACATAGTGAATTGATTATGACTGCATTAACTTTCTTGGCTGTTTTATAGTTTACGATCGTTGCGTGACAATTCAGCATGCTCTCGTAAAGTTGTTTTGTCAGTGTAGAAAAGAAAGTAGCGATTGATAAAGATACGAAATTGTCAACGAATGACCGATGTGCATCCTTGCGTAAAGATTTAAAGATAATCGTAAGACGCACGTAAATTAATCGGTGCGCGCGGAGTTTCTCGAGGCATTTCAATATCCGAGCCGCTCGAACACGTATGAATGGTATACGAGAGTTTCTAGATTTATGGATTCGGCGTTGCCGAATTTATTGTACATTGTTTATGTAGATGTGTATATACGAATTCATCGATTTATCACGCATTTCGTTGTTGCAGTAATGAGAAATTCGTGAAAATAAAATAATATCGTTAACAATTACACGAGATCGTACTGAATAAATTCGCGAGAAATATGAGTTTTATAATGACGGAATCGTATCGTAATTACATTTAATACAATCAAGAAAAAACGCGAATTACTAGTGTATTTATTAGAGATTTTAAAGAGGGCATGTATGCACGATACATTGGTTACATTCGAAATTATTTCTACCAATAAAGAAGAGATACAACGGTGGAGAGGAATATGAAAGATAAGCGGAATACGAATTAAAAAAATTACTAAATAGAAAAGGAAATCCGGGAATGCGAAATCAGTGGCGACAAATTGATTTTTTTGGCGTATAAAATATACACTGTCTTACAACGAAAAGAAGCGAGTGATTGATGCGAAAAATTTACGCGAGAGTACGTCAATTGAAACTTTTCTATCGCGATATAAAGTTATACGTGCAATGGCGAAGTGACATCACGTTATTTACACGTGTATTTTTAAAGGCTTTTGTTCATGATCGTTCGAAATAAATTTCTCTCTTTTTTTTTCGAGAAACGCAGCGCGATAGATGGAAATTACTTCCGAGTGAGGCGCTAGCAAAATGCCGGGTGTGTCTATATCGCGTGTGCTATCGAGCGGTAGAAAGATATTATCTTCGTAGCGACACATAACAGGAAATATGTGGCGTGATACGCGTTTCGGAGATTCCGCATTCTTTGTTTTTCCTAGACGGCTAACGAGCACGACGTGTCCAGGATAATTCGAAAATCTAAGCAACGCGAAAAGTTTTAGAACGAAGCTTCGAGGTGCTCGACGTGTAAAAATAAGTAGAACGTTTGCGAGGAAAAAGGAAAGAAAATATAATTTACGATATGACTGAAATAAGAAAGTGTAATTTATAATATATCTCGAAAACGCGACCTCTCTCTCTCACTTTCGTGTGCACGCACAATCTTTGCACCGAGTCACGAAATACGAGATACAGATTTTTGCATCGCGTCATTTTATTTCGTACTTTCGAAATTCCGCGAACGTTACGGGTCACGTTAGCCTGTTAAAAAAATATATGTTACCGCTGAAAAATTGTACCCTCGAACTTGTACAGCTTATTGAAACGCCCATAGACTTTTTATTAATTACACTTTGTTTCCATTCTATCGAAATTCAATAATCTGCACGTCGCGAAACGACGCGGAAGACATGCGCGTGAACAAATTGTACTTCGACGACGCCAATGACATTTTAATCGTTGCCTTGCATCACACTTAACTCACTCTTCTGCGATTTTGGGGCACGACGTGTACTCGCGCGAGGCAAGTAAATTTAGGTAATGAGACTTTCCAAACATGTTAGCATGAGCTCTTGTTTGCCAGATGCGCTAACACATAAATTCCTGTTTGCCGCAGTATATAGTAGCTACGAAATATACTTCAACGGATGCTTGCAAAGCACTCTGAAATCCCTTATGAATATAGACTGATTTCTCCCGTATATATTTTACGCGATTTTCCGCGTAACAGCAATACGATCTGTACATACAGCCTTCCAGATTTAAAATTATAAGTCCTCGTAATTTCGAATATTCCCAGCCTTTTAATTAGTCTTTTTCGCAGCTGGACACGTCGCAGCTTGATATAACCGAGAATAATATAAGGAAAAGTAATGCGAGATATAAAACGCGAATGTAGAGAGAGAGAGAGAGAAAGAGAATTGATTTACGCCGATTAATCAGAGTCGAGATCGAGCCTTGGCAAGCGTAAACCGAGCTAATGAGAAATAAAAGATAAATACGCGTTCCCAAGTTACATATTAACTGAATTTCCGAGATGTCGGTGGAGAAACTCGCCGTGTATCGTAAGATCCCCTCGTACGGCTTTTGTATCCCAGAAGTATGATCTTCGGTTAACGGTAGATCGCACGCGGATTGCGAGCTGCGCGATCGCGCGAGAAAGGTGTGCCGCGCGCGATCGACGGCGAATTTTCTCTCAGTCGGCTTTTAGCCGGTAGATCGTTACCATCGATCCACCCGTCGATCGCTCCTCGTGCGTATATTGAACGGTCGCCCGCGATTTCGCTTCGAATTTCTCATCTACGCATCTGTTTTGCTCGCGCATTTCGAATATTCTTCTCGCTGCTGTCTAAAAATATAAATCCAAAGTAGAGGCACTTGTCCCACTTTTACACTCTTGAGCCTTGTGTCCAGGAACTGTGTCCAAGTTCTAGTTCCGAAAAATGTGTAGCCAATCAGCTTGCATCTTTTGCGGAAGGGCTGCAAGTTCTAGCTCAGAGAAATGTGTAGCCAATCGACTTGCACCTTTTACGGAGGAGCTGCAAGTTCTAGTTTCGAGAAATGTGTAGCCAATCAACTTGCATCTTTTACGGAAGAACTAGAACTTGGACGCAACGCTTTACGATTCAGATCGTTCTATCGCTATAATCCTTTTCATCGCGGATAGTTTTTCTGACGTTGCAAAATCCCACGACAAATTCCCTTTAACTTGCAACTCGAGGTTCCTTCCAATTCACATATGATTCTGGATAATAACTTAAAGTTGAAATCCTGTCGACCAACGTACCGTAGCTATTCACGATAAAAACGACAGGTTATCGAGGTGACTGACGAGGTCTGTGCGTTGGGGCGCGAGGCTCACTCGAGGTGTTCTTTTCGAATTGCAGATCGAATATAAGTGCGCGCGTGTGGTTCGTGTGTGTGTACATGTGCCATCATCACCACCGTCCGCAGCAGTAACGGAAAAGAAGAGGGCTCGACCCGCAGTGGCCGGAATCACCGAAAAATGGACGCGACGCCGCAGCGAGTTATTTCCGGTTTGCTTTTGTTCGCCCTCGCCACATTACACCTCGGTAAGTCCCTTTGACTGTTATTAACAATTAACGAGCGCGATGCGATCGCCAAGCGCGCGAGAGGGCACGCGCCGTCCATGCCGGTCCGGAGAAATCAACTTGAACGGAAGAGGAAAATGGCGCATAATAATGCTTCCCCGTTTGCTCCCCGAAACAGTGTTTCAGGTATCGATCTCGTGATGTAAAATAGCTTGGAAAGAATTGAATCGGAGAAATTATGATTATTACACCCCACAGAAAACATTTCCGGATCCAATGCATCATAAAATAGGATCGATATAGCGCCAATCATATTTATTATAGACTATAGAGAAAGGAGTATTTTAATCTTAAATGAAAAATTGTAAAATGTAGAATAAAATGATAGTATGTATCGTCTTTTGTCGAATATCGTGGCAGCAACGTCGTTGCAAGATGGAGGGAAAATAATTTTAAACGCAAGAATATATAAACTTACATTTATATAAGTTACTCTCGTCCCAATATAGTAAGTCAATCTTTTTTAATTCGATAGAGGAGAATAAGAATTATTGATTTTATTCTGATATTGTCATATTTTTATACTAAACGAGGTTGTGAGAAATACAAATGCGTCGAGAATATTTTTTGTCTCGGCAACGGAAATCCTTTCTGAGGGTGTAATAACAAGTTTCCATAATTTCTCACGCCACTGTTTTCTTAGTGTCATTGTCGCAAATACAAGAGTCACGATGAAGTATATTTTTCATGACATTTTCATCGAAATATCGTTTTGCATTACCGATTTCTTATTTCATGCGATTATTAATTACGTGATTTATCATATCACGTCGCAACTATTTACGCATCATATTTTATTTATATAACTTTCGATATTTATCGGAATCTTCGATTGACTTGTACGTCTAAGCATTATTGCGCCATGATTCCGTAACGTTTAGATGACAAACGTCCGCGACATATGCGCGATGTATTATGGCTACGCAAACGCAGCCATTTTTTTTCCGCATGCCGTAAGAGTTAATATATTTATTCAGCTCGTAATAGACTGGCATTGCGGTGGTGCGTACTCCGAGAAAGCTGCGTTATAATAATTTAAAATGGATTCGCGTGCGGTGCATCGCGCTGCAGAAGCAGTGCAAGCAGTTACCTGCAGTTATTGTTATTACGTCGCGCCCATTATTTTGCGGTAACGTTCGCATCTCCCCGAGTCTTGTTATTACGCAAAACGATTTAAATTACGTGGCGTTCCGTTCCGCGGCACAAACGGATGCAGGGAAATGCCTTATGGAACGTTCGCCGGCCCCTCGACCTCCCGGAGGGAAAATACGCGGCTGTTCCGTAAGTTTTTCGCTAAAAACGAGTTTCCGGGATCCACGCTAACTCCTTGCGCGGGTACATTACTTCACAATCGTCATTTCGCCGAGCTACTCGTAACGGAAATAGTATAAAGACTTAAAATTATTATGAAACATAAACGAAATGATGTTGGTACAAAAGCTATTGTCATATTGTCGGCTTTTCTATGGTCAGACGACTCAACATCAATGCCACATTTTACGCGATACATATCAGAGAGGTGCAAGGCCTTTAACACTGCCGCGGACAATTTACGGCCTTGATCTACCTTCGGGTACTGTCAACTCGAGAAGGACGATCTGTCGAGTTCTTTCGGCATATATGTATTTATTCTCTCAAAGAACGTAAGATACTCCCGACTTTTTTTCGATTCCTTGTTGGCATTATATCTACACTGAGAAAAATTATCCATCGGATAAACCAATTAAATAGTGTTTCCGATGGTTAATTTTTTCGATTAACTTTTCCGATTAAATTATGCATATATTCGATAAAATGTATCCGATGAAATGCGGCTACCGATAACATTTGCTCGAAAAATTTTTCATCGGATAGACAATTTAATCGGACATAACCGTTTGTCATTATGCAATTGGATTATCCGATTATATTTAATCGGACAGTTTTCTCAGTGTGCGATAAGTAAGATCAGTTTAACGCCTTTGAAAGTATCACGGATCGGAAGAACGTTCGTGTGATTGCGAAAAAAAAAAAATAAGAAAGGGAAAACGGTAATTCGATGATGTTCAACGGCCTTGTCTCACGCGGAGTTCGATCGTGTCGAGTCGTCGCTAATCGGTAAAAATAGTGTCGCGATGTCGCGGCGAGCGTTGCGAGTGCGGCTGCAATTTGAAAACTTTTAGCGATTTAGGACGTAAATTGCAAGGGGAAACGGGGACGCGACCGTCTTGACGATACGACGCGCAAGTAGACGGCCGTAAATGCGTCGTAATTGCATAATGGCTACGGTGTGTCCGCGCCGAGATACCGAAGCCCTGGCCTGGTTTTTGCTAGAGGACTTTCACTCGGCATCACTATCTTTCTCTTTCTTCCACCTGTCTCTTTCTGCCGATGCTGGGTCGCTTTCCGTCTCGTCGCACGTTCCTCGCTCGTTTCCTCTCAAACGTCGGTCTCATCGACCGAACTCGCTTTCAAACCAGTTCGCCATCATCGGTGAATCGAAGGGCTCCGCCAAAATCGTCGGATAATCCATTTCAGCGATTTCGCGACGTACACAAAAGCGTGAATAAGTCAGCGTTATCGTGCCGTTCCCTCCCGGGAATTCGATTTGTCTTACCTTACTTTTACTTAATGCAGAGGGTTATCCATCTCCCGTTTAGTAAAAAATGAGTTATTAAATCTTTTTAGCGTTTAAAATGTCCGTAGTCGTGAATTGCGGACAAGCGAAGGGTCTCGAGGTAAAATATGGAACGAGATCTTGCGCGAGCCTGTGCTCTTTTCGATTCTTTCATCTTTGTGCGGGGACGTTCCGTTAACAATAACGGTATATTTTTCACGCGCAGTACCGATTCTTCGTGATAAATGTTCTTTGCAATATGACAATGTTTGAGGAGCGGACGTGGAGTTGCACTCTCGAAAAGATAATTTTGAAAATGCCACATATTTTTTTTCATCAATTTCGCATAATTCGAAACTTGACAAGTGACAGTCTCCTTTTGCTTTATTATCGTAGATATTGTACGCTAATTTGTCGCACGCTAAATGCCATGTGGCACGATGCAAGAATTGCAGCTGCTTTTTCATTAAGCGTTTAATGAAACGACCTATTAATCGCAAACACTGCAACTTTCCTCATGCTAAATCTAAATTACATTTGGGAGAAATTAAATCCCGAGAATACTTGTTTGGGATTACTTTCTAATCAAGTTCTATGAGTCTGTCTCTCCGTGCTCTCCTGTATCTCATTTTATCTTTATTTACGGAGTGCTCACTTAATAGACGTAATGCATCGAAATTCTTTCGTAATTAAACTCAAGCTTCATTCTCGAGCCATTGTTTCCGTGTATCGAGGCGCGTTTTATAGAAAGAACATTCTGCGTAATATTTTTATAGAAATGAGAACCTCTTTCTCGCATGCGAAGCATCATTTCATAATTACTTGACGTTAGACTATTTGATAAAAATGTAAAAGACAATTTTTTATTAAACCGATCCAGCATAGAAAATTGACAATTCCACGAAACTTACCGTTAGTTCGCAAGAACCTTTGCCTTCGTCAATGGCTTACAATTGAAAAACTATTGATTTCTATTATCGTATACGCATTAAGGAGAAATTTCCACTAGCGCGGAGGGACTGTCCGAGGCCAAGAATACTCTATGACAAAAATTCTCGCTGACGATCACCGGCGTCCACTCGAGAGGCACTACGACAGATTCGAAAACGTCGAATCGATGTGCAACGAACACCGACGCGCGAGTATCGGCGAGGCGAGCGCGTGTAGCTCCAATAAGCCCCGGTCGAAGCCGTTCGATCGCTCTCGACGAATCTCGAATCGGACAATACCCGGCCTCCTCACGCGGATACGGTCCCCCCCCGTGGTTCGTCCGGGATAACCCGCGATGTCTCTCGGGCATACACATACGCCCGCATGTTGCCGATGGGGCATAATACCACGAGTACCCCGCCGGTTAGTACTCGTGCGCTATCAAACACGAGGGGGAGGAAGAAAGAGACGCGCGTCTATCTGTCTTTATCTTCTTTTCCGGGGATTACTTCCGGGTCAGCGAGCCAGTCTCGATCGCGTTCGTTCCGCGCTCTTACAGATTATACGGGGTACTTGTTGGTGCGTGACGCGAGGCGCATCCCGAAGCGCAGCGTATACCCCGTAAGCTGCGAATTCCCCGGGCGCGAGCTGCGCCGTCTCGAATCTCCGTTGACGGTTCGGATATTGCGAATCGCGGCACCGACAATATTTCACGAGAGATCGACCGTTCATCGCTCGACACATCGGCTCACGTTTCACGGATACTTGTTCTTCTGCGGGAGAGAGATTGTACAGAACGCGCCAAAAGCCACGGTCCTGAGAGCAAACCTGGCCAAGAGAAGCTCGAGTGTATTTTGCCGGATACCTGGAGCCGACGTTTTGCTCCCTCGATTGCTTCAAAATGTCACTTTGAGGAGCACGTCGTACCACTTATGCTGAAACCACGTGCGAATTTTCACGAGATAGTAAAAGAGCAAAATTTAAAGCGGATACTGGCCGCCAGTTTTTATTTCAGATTTGAATTTGGCTATTTTACTGTTTTGTGAAAATTTGCGCATTTGTGGTTTCGGCATAAAAGGGACGGTATACTACAGGAGCCTACTTATCGCCCAGGAAATGGCACTCCAACGAATATTAACGCTTTCAATTTAGCAAATTTATCGCGCGATATCTATAATTCAAACCGAATAATCCAACTATTGTTTCATTCTGCCAGTTAAAAATGCTCGTATCAAATGCGCGCGCGTTAAAATATAACAAGAATAATACAGTAATCGCGAGGGAAGATTATCGGCTTGAAACGCGATCTTTGTCCCGCGTAAACCCGCGTGATAACACACGTCATCTTTGCCGAATGGGCCATCTTTGCCGGCACGATCCTTTAGAAATACACACGGAAAGACCGGCTGAGGCAAGAATAACTAAAATTAAAATC